CAAGCGAGGCCAGAAAGGCTAATTTAAATTTAAACAAAAGAATATTAATCTGGCAGCCATTTATGAGAGTGGTCAATAGAGCAATGGATAAATCGGTCTATCAGTTGCTCAATTAATTTAGTGGCTTCACTCTCGGATGCGTTTCTTATCTTTACGCTTTTTTTGTATTTTTAATTTTTAAGTTTGCAATTCACCATTTACCCAGACGACGGGTCAACGCTCGAAGCTACAACTTTAAACACTCTTAACAGTGCAAAGGGTATAATAATAATAATAATAATAATAATAATAATTTAATATTTATATTGCGCAAATTAACATGTGGATATGATCAAATGCGCATCACAACACTTGTCGGGGGACTTAAGACTGCATCAGCAGTTTACAAACAATCGAAGGAAACGTATTTGAAGATGCCCCCTCCCCCCAATTCCCAGTAAAGAACCCACATCACAGTAATCTCGTGAGTGGGTTCTTTAACGTCGCCTGCCTAACCAAATTAACTAATTAATAGATGCATATTGTATATTGTATATCATTCGGTTGATAAGACCTACCCCCCCCCTCCCCTTTACCCTTCCCCACGCAGTACCACAGTTCTTTAGAAAATCTCCCCCTTTTCATCTTGCATCTCTTTCATCGACCCGAGTTTGTTTGCTAACTGTATATGGGTCCATGAAGTTCACAGGAGATTTCATTTGCGGTGCTAACCTTAAAAGGGTACAGGAATAGTTTTCTTATTACTGATGTGAATATTTACCTTTTCATCCCCAACATCTCGTTAGTGATTATTCTCATTCCTGTCTACTATACACTGCTCATATCGTTAGTCCCGATAATTTGCTATTGGATCAGCCAATGGTCCCCAAATTGATATATTTTTGTATTCTCGTCACTTGTCTGCTTGATATTGTATTGTTATTGAAAGGAGAAATTCTGTCTTGGTCACTCTTGGGAGTTGAAGGGTCAAACATGGACAAGTATGAAAGATGATGTCATTCAGTGAATAACCCATTTCCAAATTACCCTTGGCCTCTTTTTCAGAACGAAGCTTGGTGCTCAACCATTCTTGTGAAAATGAGGTTAATTTGCATGTGAATGAAAACTTATAATCAGAGGAAAGGATGAGCACCAGGACTTGTTTTGAAAATGAGGCCAAGGGTAATTCGGAAATGGGCTACTGCACTGGTATACTCGGAGACAAAGAACTCCCAAGTTCTCTCAATAAGAGTCGAACCTATGACCTTCCCATTAGTTTTTCGGATTCTCTACCACTGAGCTATAGGAAACTCGTGGCAGACTAGGTCGTTTAACCAGGTCCATGGTCACGAACGTCCCGCATACTGCTTGGGTAGGAATGTTCACGAATGCGGTGCTTTTGCGCAATGATGATGTAAATGTAAATAGTAGATGTTAAGTCTCGCGATTTAAATGAAAGACGATGATCTGTCAACAAGACGAACAAGTTTGTTACAAAACCTCTTTCACTTGTTAGTACTTACTCGCAGACGGCACAAGTTTAAAACGAATTTTTTTTCTCCAGCATATGGTTACAAGAATTCATAACCTCCTGGTGCTTAAGGACCGGCGAATGAAGCATCGAGAACTGAAAACTTTCTTTGCTCTGTAGATTCTTCGGACTCGTACGTTTGCGGAGGCTCGACCTGCAAGATTCTTATGTCATTGACTCAAAAAAGTCTTTATCTCTTAACGTGGAAGAGAGAGGGAGGTCACGGGCACTCTAGCCCCACCCCCCCTCCCTAGTGACGCACCTGTAAGGAGTGAGGTGTTCAATTATAATCAAGTGTTTGATGAAGGAATCGCGGTCACTTTGTGTCTTAAAGAACAAAGCGGTGAATTCGTTTCTTTTCTCTCACAAAATTGCAGCAGCATTCGAATGCATTGCCTTAGGTCGCTATTTCGCCAGCAATATATCAGCGGATTAAGAGCGGAGTTACAGAACACGAAGCAATCAGTGACTGGGAAAACGTAATAATGAAATATTTTGTCATCGAAGAACTTGACAGCTACCAGAGACATCAGCAGCGGAGAGTAACATGTTAATACAGCTCCCACGATGTAAGCAGTTGTCTTTGTTATTTTGCTCTCTCTTGCGGTTGTTGAAGATTGTGCCGTCAACGTGCTGCTTATTTGGAAATGATGACGACGAGCCAGCCTAAAGATGCGAATGTACACAAAAATGATAAAAGTGACGTAAGTGACAATAAAAGAAATGGCTGCTGTGTAATACTGCGCTGTACTGAGACCGAAAAATCGTGAGATCACAAAGATGGTCCACGATGCAACGAAGACCCCTGTGAAGATCACAAGTCGAGGAACTGTGATGATTTGTTTGTACTTGAAGGTGTAAAACAGGGCGATGTATCGTTCACACGCGATGACAAAGAGAATAATAAAAGATGTCCCTATCGAAAGATGCCATAATACTCTGTAACTAAGCATCACCCAGCAGATGTAGCGTTCTTTTAGCTCTAAAAATCGCCGAAGGGTGTACAGTGGTTGAACGGCGAAGGCAACAAAGAAATCGCTCATGGATAGAAGCAAGAGAAGAGTGTTAGAAGCCCTTACGCGCAATTCACGATGTTTCAGTATCGCTGTGCAGACGAGGCCGTTGGCAGCCAACGCGACTGGAAATAGCATTCCATTCCAGACAGACGCTACAACTGATACGGTTGTCAAAGAATCCGTTTTTTCTATCTTGTGGTATATCAGGAACGAACATTGTATTGAAGTATCATTTGCCATGAAGCTGGTTTTCTTTCGATCGATTTTTCCCTCTTTCGAGAGCAGACTTCCAACGTATCAGTCGTCACATTGAAGGATTTTCTCGTGGTTGAGTCAGGGTAGTTTACTATGAATTTTTTCCTTATCTATTCTTGTGTTCTCACAAAATGTTTTCCTTCGTACGCAGTTTGAAGACGAACTGATCGCCGCAATTAAGGTTTTTCTCGTGGTCTCTTTGTCGAGTCAGCTTTGTTTGCAAACTAACCGGTCGCCACAATCAAGGCTTAAGTCGTGGTTGAGTCAGCTTTGTTTAGGAAAAAAAATTTCTTTTTTCTCAGACTTCTCATCGTAAGAACTTGCCCACTAGTTAATTGATGTAGCTGTTTCTTTTTTTTTAAGAAGTCATCAGCGGGGCCTCTTTAGCTTATTCGTTTCTTGAATACCGTGAAAAGATGAACCGGCACTTCTAGCCTTGCTCTATTACCTGATGAAAGTTGTTACGATCGGGTTTTTTATCGCGTTTCCGTTATGAATGACTCGCTTCAACTCAGATCAAGAAATCTTTTGTCATTTGCTTCCTCAGTTGCAGGGCTCAAGTGAGAGCACAATTAACCCTTGGAGGTGATGGAGGAAGCTGTGAGTCAAATACGCCTTCAAGCTTTTATCTTTTTGAGAGCTTCCTGAGAAAAAGGAAATAAATTATGTTTGCACCCGTTTTCCGCATTTATTGCCGTTGCGAGATCAATCTGTATGAATGATAATTCTTTCAATATGTATGAATGATAATTCTTTCAAGGTGCATACATCGTTTTCAAAGACCTAATTCTTAAAAATGATATTTAATGTACAGTCGGTCAAAACACAAGGGGTCTCAACAGCAGGTCTATTTAGACTGAATTATTGAGTTTCCATTGTTTTCCGGCTAAAAGACATTCGATCAATATTGAGATGCAAGGTAATAAATGCTCTGCGGTAATTACAAAATGTTTCCTTGGGATCTAAATTGAATTGAATGAAGGTGTTAATGCAATATGTCTATTCACAAAATATTACCGCATGAAAGAAGGGTAATGGATGGATCCGAGGCCACATAACATTAAATCTTAATTTTATTCCCAAAAAATTTAATTTACCACGTAGCGTTTGCATTACCATATGGTTTTAAAACAAGGAAAAATGTGATTAATTTTAAATACTTCTGTTTACATTGGTGGCAAGTGTAGTTAAAAGATGTTCAGTTCCCTAAAACATGATAAGGGACGATTGTTTGTTCCGTTCGATTAAAATTGGTGTAGCGCGTGGCTTTGAAGGGTATTGCGGTATGTTTAATGTAGAAACGAATTTTTATGAAACCATTTTTACCTAAAGAAAAAGTTTATTTCTCAAGGACCCCTCACGGATTTCTCTACACTGCGAAAAGAAAGGGAAAAGCGACATTAATTTTTTTAGGAAGTCATTTGCGTAGAATTTTGAAGCTGCCATCGTCTTCTTAGTCAAACGCAAATAAACCGGGTAAAATTTCATTTCAAAACGTTTAGCATTAGTTCCAGAAGAAAGTAAATTCAATTTATCCGTCTGGATTTTTAAATGGCAGCTCTTTTGTGTAAGTGAGAGAGTGTTTGCGTTACTAAATTGCTAAAGATACAAATAAAGACTCGCGCTTAGCCTGACTGTTAGGTACTTTTCGAGTAACGTTCAGGAAAAACATTGTCGCGTTACGTTTGGGATACACACTGTCGCGTTACGTTCTGGATACACACTGTTGCGTTACGTTCGGGATACACACTGTCGCGTTAAACCGCAGCACACATATATGATTTTTATCATAGCCCTCCTACGCAACAACTAAACTGTCAATTTTGCGCTGCATAGATTAGACTAGTTAGATCATGCAAATTATATTGTGTACAAGCAATGGTAAAGTTTATTCTCATTAAATCCCCTGATGAGTGGGCGACCACGAAACAGGCTTGTAGGGATGAACTTGTAGTTTACTTGTCTTTTTCCTCCCTCAATATATACGTCGCTCTACTTCTATGTATTGAGCACTGTTCTACGAAAATCAAGTCACACTTTATGATTTTTATATATTCAAAATGCACTGAGTATAAACAATTGAATTCAGCCTTATCAATAAGAGGCGTTATGCCGGTACAAACTGAGCTTAGTTATATAGTGATATCATTATTTCATCGATTTTTAGAGTTTGGTCAAGCTAGGAAAAGCTCCTTCCTTTGTTTCACTTTGTCGATCTCGTTCCTCAGACCAGAAAGCTTATTCTCCTAACTGTACTGAGAGTTATGTTTTCTGTCTAAAAAAATACCGCAGTTGATCAGTTGATAATTCTATAAATTCTCTTTTCCTGTTTGTTCGTCAATCTTTGAAAGCTGTAGGAAGACTTAATTGTGTATCATTGCCAGTAATTAAGTTGAGGAGCTAATCTAGATGACAAGCGTAAGTATAAATAGTCGAGATAAAAAGAGTGAAGGGTTCATAGTCTATATGGCACTCTTAAAGTCGTGGAACAAATCAAATTCCTGCCTCTTTTCATCGACTGGATCTTCACCGCTTTCCTTCAGGCGCTTGGCAAGAATCCCCCATTGCGGAATTTGGAAACCCTGTGACAGCTTCTCTTTATCGAGGGGCTCATAATATAGATCTGCCAATGTTCCTATACGCTCCCCAAAACAAGAATTCCCTGGGATACGTAATTTAGCTTGGAAAACCAGGTTTTCCCCTACATACCTGATTTCCAGGGTCGACTTTGTCGTAAGGGGAAGAACACTGGAGAGCAAAAAATTTTGGTAGCTGGTAATGGTAATGTTATAGGTGACAGTGGTACCAAATATTGGATTAACTTGCTTCACGCGAAATTTTCCAATGAAAGGCTCCGGAGCAATAGGAAAGTGGGATTTACGCTGCAGTTCAAAAAGAGTTTCGTTGAGTCTCGGAACAAGGAGCTTGTAAAGCAGCGCAGAGCCTTGAGACCCGGTTGGCTGAATGTAATACGTGGTGCTTATCAGAATATTTGCTCCAAGAGCCATTTCGGGAATAACTATGAGCAACGCACTGTAAGTATCAATGTTGCCAGCTTTAGTGCGGATCAAGAAATGTTCTCTGAAGAACATTTCAAAAGGAGATCCCCACACCGTCACTCCGTCCGGAGTAATGTCTTTGGGAGTCATCATCTCTCGAAGAGTGGCAGGTTTGAACAGTTTCTGTTTATCTGGTTGAGCAAGCATCATTCCTAACTTGGCAAGATCCTCAATAGTGGAGTACATATTCCCTGCTGGTGCTAACCATCCGATTTCCATAAACTTCATTCGCTGTCCATTGGGTAAATAAGGCAACGCCATGTTTTTCTCTACCTCCTCTGTGATTTGAAAGCCAGTATTTGCCATTCCGAGGGGTTTCAAAATGTTATCTTTCGTCCAGTTCTCGAATGTGTCGTTCAGTAAGTTCTCAGTAAGTAGCCTACCGAGCAATGCGTAACCAAGGTTACTATATGAAGGCTCCGTCCAAGGAGGAAGAACTAACGTGCGGTTTCTCAGCAAGGTAAGCTGCTCACGCGAGCTTGTATTTGTGCACTGATATAGGCAGGGAGCCTCGCGTGGTAATCCCGACATTTGACTCGCGATCTCGCGTAGTGTAATGTTGTCGCCGGTAAAAGGGTTGTTAATAGAGAAATTAGGAGCGTACTTACTCAATGGGTCGTCAATTGAAGAAATTTTTCCTTCTTCGTAGAGTTTGTACACTAAGAGGACAGCAAATATCTTGGTGACGCTTCCAATCCGATAAACAGTAGTGTCATTTGGTTTCGATGTCGGCTGTTTATACACCTTGCTTCCATAATGGCCGCTCCAAAGAATCTCATCTCGGTAAAATACATTCATAGAAATGGCTGGTAGCGACGAACTCTCGTCAATTGCAGCACTAAGGGCTGAATTAAGCTTCTCAAAGACTTCTGTGATTTGCTTTGGGGTCTCCTTCGGCAGAGGAAACAATGTAGGTAGCTGGGGGCACGCCAGCGTAAAATCGGTGCCCGCATTTTGTTTCTCACTAGCCTTCTCCGTCTTGTGTGTTAATACGTACCAAACAAAAACTGCTGCAATAGTTATGGCGATTAGACTTGAAAGTAAAGTTAACACTTTCCAGAGTTTGAGGCCTCTGAAAGGTCGTTTCTCCCCTGAGAACGTAGTATAGGGATTATCCGTTTCCTCCGCCATGTCACTTTCGGCGTGATTGAATGTTAATGTCAGTCACAAAGGCAAGCACTTATAACTCGTCTAGTATTAAGTGTGGAATATTAGACCGTCACGCGATACAAAACGTCTACATGACACAGATTTCTTATATTAGTTGATAGAAAGTAGTGGGAATTTGAGGTGAGATAGCAGTGATAAACATGGTACACCGATGCATCTTGGCATTTGCTAAGCTAGGCAACACACATGTTTACTAAATACACCAGGTTTAGAGGGAATTGTCACGTAAACGAGCCAAATTCAATTTTTACAGTCATTGTTTTATTGCGTAGCTATTTTGCATTTAAGTTTGTAAGAAAGATTCGTAAGGAAAATCTCTCATGTGTCAATTTGCTTCTTAAAAAGCTTCTTATGCTGTTTCGAAAAAAAATTAACCCTGAGACTGGGTAATTAGCCCGTTATGAGGGGTTATTTTCGAACAAGAGCCGGATCGTCAGGAAAGACGAGAAATTAATCAACAGCTTAGCGCGTGGGACGTGATTTTATGTTAATTCTGGTTGAAGATCCATATGTCGCCAGTAAGCGTAATCCCTACAAAAAAACTTGCTGGATATTTCCTTCCTTAAAGCAATTTTCTGAGGTCATTCGAAGCTGGTTTTATCGAGATAAAAGTTAACCTTCAGCGGCAAGTTCGAAAAAGCCAAAATTAATCTGAACGATGGGTTTAAACGGATAACTGACAGCGGTAACAATTCCTGGTTTAAGAAACAATTCCAATCCATCTATTTTATCATAAAGACCTTTTTTTTAAATTCTGTGCTTTCACTTTTAACACTGGCGAGAAGATAGAGTTGGTTTGAGTCAAGTAAGCAAATCTTTCGAAGGAGAATTGTATTGCAACTTGTCCAATTTACTCGATTGTAAGCTGAATTATAAAGCTGAATTAATTAGTTTGATCAAAGGGTCTTTTTTCAGCGACAACTGAAGAAACAGTGGCGGCGCCTAAATGGATTGTGGAGAAAATTTCCTGCCGCCAAATTTCAGTCAAAGTGGACCGAGAAATCAAAACACAGTGTTATTTTGTTCTTTTGATAGTTCTGATTATAGACACAACACCTAGACTTAAAATATGATTTCGTTGTTTATTTACAAATACGAGTCCTTTATTGGTTTTAATTTTTCCACGCACGTCACGGACGTCAAAATAATCAGCCCATTGAGCCCAGCCCACAGTCTGGAGACAGATAAAAGCGGTGATACTGAACCTAACCAAAAAAAAAAAAAGGTACCTTAAATTCACCAGGCATGGTCCTAAACAAAGAACAAAGATAAATAAAAGGCAGTCTATGACTGCATATGCCTACTGTCTTAGTTTTAGAGACTTGTAGAAAAAAAAAGCAATGTGGTTTAAAATGCAAGGGAGGGGGGTCAGAAAGGACTTAGTTACAACAGAGTTTGCACACTGGTCAACTGTCAAGCCGTGAATAGAGCAGGAAATGAATAGAATCATAGACGTATTAAATGTGTTTAAGAGGTAAACTAAATACTTTATAATCTCTTTCTCAAATGTACGACGCTTCGTACGCTCTGCGTACCTAGCGTAATGTAGATACCTACTCCTCCCGGGTGCGAATAAGGTTGGAGCCCTGGCCACGTCAACATCTTTCGTCTTCCTTTCAAATTTCTTTTCTTTTTTTTTTTCCTATTCTTTCTCCTTTCTTTTCCTTACACTTTTCATTCTTCTTCTTATGATACGTAGATATATTTAGAGTAAACCGTCACATGAGTACTTTGACGACGTAGCTTTACGTTCAAATCGGTGACAAGTAGAAATGTAGAGGTGAGACCCTAACAAAGTCGAACGGAACCCGACAAGACTGAAAATGAATCCGGAGAAACCCAAAGCCAGATTCGTTCAACGATTGAGACTTGTGTCTCAATCTGTCTCCAGATTAAGACACAAGTCAACACTCCGGCTACGAGAAAGTCCCAATACAAGCCCGAAAAAAATTATAGGAGTACAAAGAGCGGTTAAGATAAAGGGTCACAAGCGGAAAAGATAAACGCAAGCCAACAAGCAAAATAACTAGAATCCTTGTCTCCCACCAAAGTCTTTACAACACTAGCAGACAAGATAAATATGGTCAGGTCTAATCGTGGCTCGCCACTATTTAATACAATGACAACTTCAAACTGAAAAGGATTGATGAGCATTGTGAAACATTAGATTCACCCCTGATAACAATAAATATAAACGTGCAAAAACAAGGAATAAAAGCTCCTTTGTGAGGCCCATTTGTTCAAAGCTTACAGAAAAAAACGACGTGCGTTTAATTTTTAGTTTGTTTTGACATGCGCGGAAGTAAATATGGCGGTCAGTCGCACTCGCCTCGAACTCTATTCAGTATAATTAGAAACAATGCAAGACAATACACTGTTAAACTAACAGAAAATATCAACAACAGATCAACCCTCACTTCATGTTAGTCAATAACAACATGCTAGAAGCCTCTAAAGGCCTTTTCTTTGTTAGCTGCTATTACTATCCACAAGCTAGACTGAGCAAACTTAGGGAAATGCTTCTAATGTTGCTATGTGGCGTCATTCTGATAGTGGTGTCTCGACGGCGGCTTATGCCAGAGAACAATGGAGTAACCCCTCCCTCCTGGTTGAGACTAAATATTAGCCTATACTTACAAATCATCTATCTCCCCAATGTAATTAACGGCTTATCCAGCCTTATCAATAAAAAGGTGTTATGTCTAACTTGTATGATGATGTCATTATTTCGTCGATTTTTATCGATTAGTAGAACTAGGTGAAACGCCGTCTTCTGTACTACTTTTATCGATTACGTCCCCGAAAAATAGATGCTTATTGTCCTAACTGTGCCAAACATTTTGTGCTCTGTCCAAGAAAAATACTTGAGTTGATAGTTCTATCAATTCTCTATATTTCTAAACTGTACTGAGAATTAAGTTGAATTGCTATTAATCTCGATAACAAGCGTAGGGGGCAAATAGTCTAGATAGAGAGATTGAAGGGTTCGAGATCCATATTAAACTCCTTAAGTCTTTAAACAAATCAAATTCCTGCTTCTCATTATCGCCTGGATTTTCGCCGCCAGCTTTCAGGCGCTTTGCAAGAATCCCCCACTCCGGAATTCGGAAACCCTGTGACAGCTTCTCTTTATCGAGGGGCTCATAATATAGATTTGCCAATATTCCTCCGCGCTCCCCCAAACAAGAATTCCCTGGGATACGCGTTTTAGCTTGGAAAACCAGATTCTCCCCGATATACCTAATTTCGAGTTCGAGGGTCGGAACGAAAGGAACACTTAGGAGTAAAGAAATTTGGCAGCTGGTGATGTTAACAGTGACATTCTTACCGAATATTGGATTAACTGGCTCCAGGCGAAATTTTCCAGTGAAAGGTTCCGTAGCAAAAGGAAAGTGGGATTTACGCTGCAATTCAAAAAGAGTTTCGATGAGTCTCGGAACTAGGAGGTTGAAAAGCAGCTCAGAGCTTTGAGACCAGGTTGGCTGAACACAAAACGTGGTGCTCATCAGAATATTTGCTCCAAGAGCCAGCTCAGGAATAACTATGAATAGCGCGTAGTAGCTATCAATGCCGCCATTTTTGGTGCGGATCAAGAAATGTTCTCTGAAGAACATTTCAAATGGGGATCCCCACACCGTCGCTCCATCCGGGGTGATGTCTGTGGGAGTCATCATCTCTCGAAGAGTGGCAGGTTTGAACAGTTTCTGTTTGTCTGGTTGAGCAAGCATCATTCCTAACTTGGCAAGATCCTCAATAGTGGAGTACATAGCTTCTGCTGGTGCCAACCAACCGAAGTCATAAAACGTCATTCGCTGTTCTTTGCACTGATAAGGGAACGCCATGTTTTTCTCCACCTCATCTGTGATTTGAAAGCCAGTATTTGCCATTCCTAGGGGTATCAGAATGTTATCTTTCGTCCAGTTCTCGAAGGTTTCGTTCAGTAGGTTTTCATTGAGAAGCCTTCCAAGCAATGCGTAACCAAGGTTGCTGTACGAAGGCTCCTTCCAAGGAGGAAGAACTAACGTGCGGTTTCTTAGCAACGCAAGCTGCTCACGTGAGCTTGTATTTGTGCACTGACTAAGACAGGGAACATTGTGCGGCAATCCCGACATTTGACTCGCGATCTGGCGTAGTGTAATGTTGTCGTTGGTAAATGGGTTGTTAATAGAGAAATTAGGAGCATAGTTACTCAATGGGAAGAAATTTTTCCTTCTTCGTACAATTTGTACACTAAGAGGACAGCAAATATCTTGTGACGCTTCCAATTCGATAAACAGTAGTGTCATTTGGTTTCAATGTCGGCTGGTTATACATCTTGCTTCCATAATGGCCGCTCCAAAGAATCTCATCTCGGTAAAATACATTCATAGAAATGGCTGGCAGCGACGAACTCTCGTTAACTACAGCACTAAGGGTCGAATTAAGCTTCTTAAAGACTTTTCTTTGATTTGCTTTGGGGTCTCCTTCGGCAGAGGAAACAATGCAGGTAGCTGAGGGCACGCCAGGGTAACAGCGTTGCTCGCATTTTGTTTTTCACTGGCCTCCTTTGTCTTGTGTGTGAGTACGTACCAAACAAAAACTGCTGCAAAAGTTATGGCTATCAGACTTGACAGTAAAGATAACACTTTCCATAGTCTGAGGCTTCTAAGAGGTCGTCTTTCCCCTAAGAGCGTAGTGTAAGGATTATTCGTTTCATTCACCATGTTGTAAGAGACAAGGAATAAAAACAACTTGTTTACGCGTCAACTGTCACTTTCGGAGGACTGAATATTAATGACAGTCACATAATACTAGTATATATGTTTTTTCTTAACTGATAGATATTGGGAATAAGAGGTGAGACAGCAGTAATATGCATTGGTAAACTGACGCATGTTTATAAAGAGCGGACATTTGATATGCTAGGTAGTTCTAGGCGACGCATATTTTCCCACGAAACCGTTACAATAATTACAATACACTACGGACGACTCGAATGAATCATTGAGCGTTCGTTCCAG